AGTGTTATGGTGGCTAGCTCTGTACAGTTGTCAGATTGACTGGTAAAGGTACAGTGAGAAGGGTGAGTGTACTGTGTTATGGTGGCTAGCTCTGTACAGTTGTCAGATTGACTGGTAAAGGTACAGTAAGAAGGGTAAGTGTATAGTGTTATGGTGGCTAGCTCTGTACAGTTGTCAGATTGACTGCTAAAAGTAGAGCCTGACATTGATTGGATGTGGGTGTGCTGCTATGCACATAATCACTAAATGGGTTTGGGTACCTGTAGGCAAGCTTATTACTATGAACATGTTCGTTAGTAGATAATTGGATAAGTGTGGTTGTAGTATTTGAGCTATGGTTCTTGAAAATAAATCTTGAAATCCAAACGTCTGACATTGTTACCATACAGAACAATGCCCATCCTTTGCTGAGATTGGTTCTGCCCTGGAGAGTTGGATAGCTGAGAGTGAGGACATGTATACAGAGTCGACATCCTTGTCTGCAGAGTACCAGTACCTCCTCTCCTGGTGCTGGATCAACCTCAAGGTAACAAGCTCACAAGGGAGTTTCACCTTGGACATTTTACATTTCAAATCAGCTTATTGTATTGTTCTCAATATGTAATAAGTATAAGATTAATAGCAAGCTAAGTTTAAAGAATAACAGGTATATCTATTGAGCCGAGGGCAAATTGTTTGTGTTTGGGATAAACCCAGGGCACCCCTACCCTCACAACCCTTGAAGGCGAATAGATTTTGGAATTGAAAAGAAAAGAAAAAAAAACCTGGCTGAGGTACAAGAAGCACTGTAAGACTTAACAGGAGAGAAAAAAGTCTAGATTTCAATATTCCCTCAAATAGATTTTTCTCCTGAAAACCAAACCAAATCCAATAACATATTACAGCAATTGTATGTTCAAATATGTGAAGTGACATTTTATAATTGTTGAAAATTACATATCAACCACGATATGATTACAGGAGAGTTGTAAAAGCCTGGGACACCTCACAGAAGTGCTGGATCAAAGGGATGAAGGCGCTGTGGACACTATACAGAACATAAGTCAGGTGTTCCTAAACATCCTCACCAACTGTCGACACAAGGTAAGTCGGGTGTCCTAAATATCCTCACCAACTATCGACACAAGGTAAGTCGGGTGTCCTAAACATCCTCACCAACTGTCGACACAAGGTAAGTCAGGTGTCCTAAATATCCTCACCAACTGTCGACACAAGGTAAGTCGGGTGTCCTAAATATCCTCACCAACTATCGACACAAGGTAAGTCGGGTGTCCTAAACATCCTCACCAACTGTCGACACAAGGTAAGTCAGGTGTTCCTAAATATCCTCACCAACTGTCGACACAAGGTTAATCAGATGTCCTAAACATCCTCACCAACTGTCGACACAAGGCAAGTCGGGTGTCCTAAATATCCTCACCAACTATCGACACAAGGTAGGTCAGGTGTCCTAAATATCTTCACCAACTGTCGACACAAGGTAGGTCAGGTGTTCCTAAATATCCTCACCAACTGTCGACACAAGGTAAGTCGGGTGTCCTAAATATCCACACCAACTGTCGACACAAGGTAAGTCAAATGTCCTTAATATCCACACCAACAGCAAATTTTGAACTTGCTGAAAGCAAAAATTCATTATTAGTTATTTATATGATAGTTGTCCCTCATCTACTTATATATGTACTACATACCATTTCTCCTTTGTTTTAGGGTGTAATAGAAGGGTGTCGATCTACTTATATATGTACCACATTCCATTTCTCCTTTGTTTTAGGGTGTAATAGACATAAGTCAGGTGTTCCTAAACATCCTCACCAACTGTCGACACAAGGTAAGTCAGGTGTTCCTAAATATCCTCACCAACTATCGATACAAGGTAGGTCAGATGTCCTAAATATCCACACCAACAGCAAATTTTGAACTATCTGAAAGCAAAAATTCATTATTAGTTATTTATATGATAGTTGTCCCTCATCTACTTATATATGTACTACATTCCATTTCTCCCTTGTTTTAGGGTGTAATAGAAGGGTGTCGATCTACTTATATATGTACTACATTCCATTCTCCTTTGCTTTAGGGTGTAATAGAAGGGTGTCGGTCTACTTATATATGTACTACATTCCATTTCTCCTTTGTTTTAGGGTGTAATAGAAGGGTGTCGATCTACTTATATATGTACCACATTCCATTTCTCCTTTGTTTTAGGGTGTAATAAAAGGGTGTCGATCTTCTTATATATGTACTACATTCCATTTCTCCCTTGTTTTAGGGTGTAATAGAAGGGTGTTGGTCTACTTATATATGTACTACATTCCATTTCTCCTTTGTTTTAGGGTGTAATAGAAGGGTGTCGGTCTACTTGTATATGTACCACATTCCATTTCTCCCTTGTTTTAGGGTGTAATAGAAGTGTGTCGATCTACTTATATATGTACTACATTCCATTTCTCCCTTGTTTTAGGGTGTAATAGAAGGGTGTCGATCATTCCATTTCTCCTTTGTTTTAGGGTGTAATAGAAGTGTGTCGATCTACTTATATATGTACTACATTCCACTTCTCCCTTGTTTTAGGGTGTAATAGAAGGGTGTTGGTCTACTTATATATGTACTACATTCCATTTCTACCTTGTTTTAGGGTGTAATAGAAGGGTGTCGATCATTCCATTTCTCCTTTGTTTTAGGGTGTAATAGAAGTGTGTCGATCTACTTATATATGTTCTACATTCCATTTCTCCCTTGTTTTAGGGCGTAATAGAAGGGTGTCGGTCTACTTATATATGTACTACATTCTATTTCTCTCTTGTTTTAGGGAGTAATAGAAGGGTGTCGGTCTACTTATATATGTACTACATTCCATTTCTCCCTTGTTTAAGGGGGTAATAGAAGGGTGTCGATCTACTTATATATGTACTACATTCCATTTCTCCCTTGTTTTAGGGTGTAATAGAAGGGTGTCGGTCTACTTATATATGTACTACATTCCATTTCTCCCTTGTTTTAGGGTGTAATAGAAGGGTGTCGGTCTACTTATATATGTACTACATTCCATTTCTCCCTTGTTTTAGGGTGTAATAGAAGGGTGTCGGTCTGCTTTTGCTCGCTTTTGTGCGTCATTGTTTGCATCCAGTAATCAGGAGTTGATTCAGGTACCCGAGCTCATTCTGAAAGAGGTAAGATTTGTATATCTATAACAATTATCTCCTCCATCTAGCTTAATACTGACAGGTGTCCATATTGAGTACTTATAAATATGAATCAGATAGATTGTATACATACCAGTATAAATCTTTGTAGAGTATGGTTGTGATTGTCCATTAACATTAGTTCAGTTTGTGGCCAAAACGAAACTTCAAATAGTGTTTTGATGAAACATGATCAATCACATACCAAATGTATAGGCTCCCTTAAGTTATAATGCCTACCCAAACGTTAAAGCCCCTACCCCAATGTCTTTAGTACCTTATTCAAGGTCAATGTCAATGCATCAGTTGAAAAGATGAAAGACCTGTTCTTAAGATATACTTTGTGGCTGACCCATAACTTCTGAAGGGCTCCTGAATGATATAGAACATTTATCAACACTAGACAGTGTGCCAGACAGTGTGCCAGACAGTGTGCCATGAACTGTTTTCTGGAGTTTCATCACAACATCATTATCTCATTGATCTCTTCAGTCTTTGTCTACCCTGGTCACCAAGGCGACGTCTACATCCACAACCAGGATGTCCGCTGGCCTGCCCATAATCATACAGACCATTGTCAGTTGTGAGAGGAAATACAAAAAGGTAGTTGGGGATTGGTTTTATGTAGCGATCAAATCAACTAGGCCATTAATAGTTCAGTACATAAGTCTAATCCATCTTAATTAGCTGAAGCATATCATTTTAAATTGAGTTATAAAGAGAAAATATTTTATACCATATTTCATTACTTATCCCTGTTACCTGGTACATGTAACATGTTAGCTATCAATGTACATTAGCTGCCTGTTACAATTACAATTACAGACCAAGTTGTTACAGACAGCTCTGGATTCTCTGTTCCACATCACCAGTCTACCCCTGGCCTCACAGCTAGACGACAAGTTTGACCTGCCTCAGGTTCATGGCCTCAACATCCTCAACTCTCTGTACAGTGACTCTAGTCTGACTGCTTCCCTCACTCCATACATAGAGGGCGCTGTGAAGCTGGTGGTGGACAGCTTCGGCTCGCCAGCATGGGCCATACGTAACGCTGCCACACGTCTATTCAGTAAGTATGGTGAAATATGTAGGTGGAAGACAAAGGCCCTATTTTGTGTCTGTAGTTAAGGAGGTACCATTACAGAACTGTAACACTAGGTTACTAATCTTTCAAACACAGCCCCAGCTTCTGCTAACGTCTTCAAATTATATCAAAGGCATAATTTCATCACCTCCATTCAAAGTCAGAACTGCTATTTTTTATGCTGTTTATAATTTGCTATGACCTTTTTAGGTGCATTGGTGACAAAGATATTTGGCCCCAAGATAAACTGGGAGGAAGGTGCCTGTAACACATTGTCTTTCCAAGAGTTTGCGGCCCATTACCCTGAGCTACCCCCCTTTATGCTAGGACAGTTGGACAAAGCCCTACAGACAGACATTGGTGCTGTGGACAAGCTCCACCCCTCTCTGTTCCCAGTGTTAACACTACTCTCACACCTGGGGCCCACAGAAACAGTCAAACAACAGCACAGGTATAGTGATCACTGAAACTAAGTTTTCTCCTGCTTCGTCTCAAATAGGGTCCAACAAAACTCAATCAGGAATAACAAAACTGTCTTCAACTTTTCTTTTCCTCAACAGCTTGTTGAAAATATCCAAAAAAGATGGGGGGGGGATCAAGTGAAATTGTGTACGGGGAGTACCAGATGTTTGACCAAAAGGAAGGGGGCCTTCAAAATATGTGTACAGATTGTGAAGGATAGATTTCTTCATGTACATGTATTTAAATTTAGAGTTATCTTTTAACAAATATAGGATTTGTTTTGTATTATTTAAGATGAAAAGTTGACTGCAAAGCCTGAAATGAATTTTTGCTTTCTCTAGCCTTATCACCGAGTTCCAGAGTCGAATCGGGTTCCTGTTAGCAAGTCCAGTGTACTACCTCCGCCATTTAACAGCAAGTGCATTTGTTGCTATGGTCACTGTACAGTCTGTGGGGGACTCTCTGATGGGACTTCTGAAAGATATTCCACAGACTCCATGTCCCAGTCACAAGTACAACAGGTTGCATGGAATTCTTCTGTGTTTGGAGAAAATTCTAGTCATCCATAATATCAGGTTTGTTAACAACGTGTCTTGCATACAAAGTGTAATAGGAATTTACCTCTTACTAAACTATAATTACATGTTCCTGTCATTATAAAACCTATGTCACAGCAAATTATTCAAGTTTAATGCTAATTAGTGGAAAAGATAAACTAATTAAATCAATGAATAACATATCCGGTAAGAAAACTTGATACAGTATGTGGGCTCGGCATTGTCCTCCATTGTGACATCATACAAGTCTGATGTCATAAACTGAGGTCCTCACCCACAATGTAAAGGGATTTAAACATCATTACCTGAGATCCTGACCCACAGAGAAATATCTATATTCTTGTCGATTTGATAATTTGTATTGAGATTTGGCTCATGAACAGTTTGTATTGGGATTTGGCTCATGGACAGTTTGTATGAGGATTTGGCTCATGGACAGTTTGTATTGGGATTTGGCTCATGGACAGGTTGTATTGGGATTTGGCTCATGGACAGTTTGTATTGGGATTTGGCTCATGTACAGTTTGTATTGGGATTTGGCTCATGAACAGTTTGTATTGGGATTTGGCTCATGAACAGTTTGTATTGGGATTTGGCTCATTGACAGTTTGTTCTTGGATTTGGCTCATGAACAATTTGTATTGGGATTTGGCTTATGGACAGTTTGTATTGGGATTTGGCTCATGGACAGTTTGTATTGGGATTTGGCTTATGGACAGGTTGTATTGGGATTTGGCTCATGGACAGTTTATACAGTATTGGGATTTGGCTCATGGACAGCTTATATTGGGATTTGGCTCATGAACAGCTTGTATTGGGATTTGGCTCATGGGCAGTTTGTATTGGAATTTGGCTCATGGTCAGTTTGTATTGGAATTTGGCTCATGAACAGTTTGTATTGGGTTTTGGCTCATGGACAGGTTGTATTGGGGTTTGGCTCATGAACAGTTTGTATTGGGTTTTGGCTCATGGACAGGTTGTATTGGGGTTTGGCTCATGAACAGTTTGTATTGGGTTTTGGCTCATGGACAGGTTGTATTGGGGTTTGGCTCATGAACAGTTTGTATTGGAATTTGGTTCATGGACAGTTTGTATTGGGATTTGGGTCATGGCCAGTTTGTATTGGGATTTGGCTCATGAAAAGTTTGTTCTTGGATTTGGCTCATGAACAAGTTGTATTGGGATTTGGCTTATGGACAGGTTGTTTTGGGATTTGGCTCATGAACAGTTTATATTGGGATTTGGCTCATGGACAGCTTATATTGGGATTTGGCTCATGAACAGCTTGTATTGGGATTTGGCTCATGAACAGCTTGTATTGGGATTTGGCTCATGGACAGCTTATATTGGGATTTGGCTCATGAACAGTTTATATTGGGATTTGGCTCATGGACATGTTGTATTGGGATTTGGCTCATGGGCAGTTTGAATTGGAATTTGGCTCATGGACAGTTTGTATTTGGATTTGGCTCATGGTTTGGCTCATGGACAGTTTGTATGAGGATTTGGCTCATGGACAGTTTATACAGTATTGGGATTTGGCTCATGAACAGTTTGTTCTTGGATTTGGCTCATGAACAATTTGTATTGGGATTTGGCTTATGTACAGTTTGTATTGGGATTTGGCTCATGGACAGCTTATATTGGGATTTGGCTCATGAACAGTTTATATTGGGATTTGGCTCATTGACAGTTTGTTCTTGGATTTGGCTCATGAACAAGTTGTATTGGGATTTGGCTTATGGACAGGTTGTATTGGGATTTGGCTCATGGTTTGGCTCATGGACAGTTTGTATTAGGATTTGGCTCATGGACAGTTTGTATTGGGATTAGGCTCATGGACAGTTCGTATTGGAATTTGGCTCATGGACAGTTTATATTGGAATTTGGCTTATGGACAGTTTGTACAGTATTGGGATTTGGCTCATGAACAGCTTGTATTGGGATTTGGCTCATGGTTTGGCTCATGGACAGTTTGTATGAGGATTTGGCTCATGGACAGTTTGTACAGTATTGGGATTTGGCTCATGGACAGGTTGAAGACAACACTCTTAAGAATGAGTTTCTTTATCATATGTAATTGATGTTTTGTTCAGAGAAGCTGACGTTCTTGAGGTGGTGGACCTATTGATGACGAGACACTGGATAGGCAGTGACCCCAGTGTGTGTCCACTCATCAAAAACACATTCCTCGCTGTCCTCCACAAACTTACACAAACCTATCCTGGCAAAGTAAAATCAGCTGGACTCCATTTGATGGTGGTGATGCAGAAGTCTGCTACGGATCAACATAGAGGGGTGAATGTAGGTATATGTTAGAACTATAGAAAGCCATTGCTTATTCCACACATTTCAACCTTATGAGATACTTTTTAACAATGATACGCTTTGAGGGATGATCCCTAAAACAAATTTTGTTAGTCATCAAGAAGAATAGAACCTTATTCTGGTGCTCTTGTTTTCAAAATGTTTAATTATGTATAACAGGCAACAATGTTTCTTGACAAAGCATTCATTTTGATTTCTTGTATGTAAGCACATACTTTCAGGTAAGTTTGAGATAAGTTTTACATGTACTTTTCCATGTGCTTATCACTTAAAACTTTGTAATCACTCTTGAAACTTCACCAATGTACAGTCGCTTGATGTGCTACTATATCTGCTGATGTAATTAGTTAGGGCAAGGAGTACTGACCAAGAACCTGGTCCAGTGTTTACTGATGAGTCAGGACTGGCAGGTGGAGGACGTGGTCGGGTTTGTAAGGGAGCTGCTCCAGAGGTCAGACATGGATACTAAGGTGGCCTGTGTATCAACACTGGAGGACATGTTGGAGTCAGGGGCCTGGCAGGCCTTACACTGGACCAACATTCAGGTATGGCAGGCCTTACACTGGACCAACATCCAGGTACACTTCTCCCTCGTCACATACTGTTCTCCTTTTTATCTCGAGAATGGCAGAGTTATGTTGGAAAATTGTGTAGAATAACTGCCAAATCTTGATAGAATTGTTCAGTTCTGGTTGAATCTGGGCCTGTATTCATGAAACCATTCTCATGCACAAACTCAGATTCTGTGCTCTTGTCAAATTTTTTGTTACCATGCTAAGTTATTGAAAATTTGTATTTTGTCAGTCTTTTGAAAAAAAAATTAAGGGACTTTAAGCCAGACTCAATTTTAAACATTTTCACTTGATTTCTTATCCTGATTTAAGCAAGATACAAAAAGAGGGTCTGAGCACATACTTTATGCTTGAGCATGAGAACGGTTTCATGAATACGGGCCAAATTTTGTCTTTGAACTACTATTATAATACTCTCATTCAATACTCTGCTTTTCATGATTAGGCTGAGAATTGACTGTATACAGATGAATATTTGTGGCATTACTACTTTAACAGTGTCATATAAACATTGGGTGATTCTGTCATCTGTCACTGATCCACAGGAGACATTGGTTGATGTGCTATTGAGGGAGACCTACCCTGTCCTGTTGACCAGCTGCCTGTCTCTATTGGTCAGTATACACAACACTCACGGCACTGACCACAACATTGCTGACCAGCTGTACCAGTACTGCTGTAACCGTGGTGATACTCCAGAGGGGCGGGGAAATGTGGAGGCAGCCATACTGGCAGTTACAGCGATTGGAATTAAAAACTGCATAGATATGTCGAGGTAGGTTCTCCCAGAACTTGGTTCTTAGTAAAAATTGTCTCTACTCTAATTAGATATTGCCACCAATGAGCAGCAAATCTCATTGGTTCAGGATCAGAAGTGTCAATATCACCAATCATTGATCCTATTCTAGCAGAACAATCAAAATGAAGCACCACTTGTTGAATAGGAATGTCAATTGCAGTTTCTAAAGGTCAGAGGTCAAATATCTTATGTCTGAACTGGAGCTGGACAGTATGATATGAAACTTCACAGAAAGGTGGGTTGTGACTGGACATTGGGTATGTACCACACATGTCTGTATCTGGAATGTTGTTTACTCTAGAGTTCTGTGACCAGTACGTATAAGATATTTGTTGTTTAGACAGACATGCTGTGTCAGTGGAGTGACCAGTATGTTATTTGTTGTTTAGACCTCCATTGTCAGACTTGCTGTGTCAGTGGAGTGACCAGTATGTTATTTGTTGTTTAGACAGACATGCTGTGTGAGTGGAGTGATCAGTATGTTGTTTAGACAGACATGCTGTGTCAGTGGAGTGACCAGTATGTTATTTGTTGTTTAGACAGACATGCTGTGTCAGTGGAGTGACCAGTATGTTATTTGTTGTTTAGACAGACATGCTGTGTCAGTGGAGTGACCAGTATGTTATTTGTTGTTTAGACAGACATGCTGTGTCAGTGGAGTGACCAGTATGTTATTTGTTGTTTAGACAGACATGCTGTGTCAGTGGAGTGACCAGTATGTTATTTGTTGTTTAGACAGACATGCTGTGTCAGTGGAGTGACCAGTATGTTATTTGTTGTTTAGACAGACATGCTGTGTCAGTGGAGTGACCAGTATGTTATTTGTTGTTTAGACAGACATGCTGTGTCAGTGGAGTGACCAGTATGTTATTTGTTGTTTAGACAGACATGCTGTGTCAGTGGAGTGACCAGTATGTTATTTGTTGTTTAGACAGACATGCTGTGTCAGTGGAGTGACCAGTATGTTATTTGTTGTTTAGACAGACATGCTGTGTCAGTGGAGTGACCAGTATGTTATTTGTTGTTTAGACAGACATGCTGTGTCAGTGGAGTGACCAGTATGTTATTTGTTGTTTAGACAGACATGCTGTGTCAGTGGAGTGACCAGTATGTTATTTGTTGTTTAGACAGACATGCTGTGTCAGTGGAGTGACCAGTATGTTATTTGTTGTTTAGACAGACATGCTGTGTCAGTGGAGTGACCAGTATGTTATTTGTTGTTTAGACAGACATGCTGTGTCAGTGGAGTGACCAGTATGTTATTTGTTGTTTAGACAGACATGCTGTGTCAGTGGAGTGACCAGTATGTTATTTGTTGTTTAGACAGACATGCTGTGTCAGTGGAGTGACCAGTATGTTATTTGTTGTTTAGACAGACATGCTGTGTCAGTGGAGTGACCAGTATGTTATTTGTTGTTTAGACAGACATGCTGTGTCAGTGGAGTGACCAGTATGTTATTTGTTGTTTAGACAGACATGCTGTGTCAGTGGAGTGACCAGTATGTTATTTGTTGTTTAGACAGACATGCTGTGTCAGTGGAGTGACCAGTATGTTATTTGTTGTTTAGACAGACATGCTGTGTCAGTGGAGTGACCAGTATGTTATTTGTTGTTTAGACAGACATGCTGTGTCAGTGGAGTGACCAGTATGTTATTTGTTGTTTAGACAGACATGCTGTGTCAGTGGAGTGACCAGTATGTTATTTGTTGTTTAGACAGACATGCTGTGTCAGTGGAGTGACCAGTATGTTATTTGTTGTTTAGACAGACATGCTGTGTCAGTGGAGTGACCAGTATGTTATTTGTTGTTTAGACAGACATGCTGTGTCAGTGGAGTGACCAGTATGTTATTTGTTGTTTAGACAGACATGCTGTGTCAGTGGAGTGACCAGTATGTTATTTGTTGTTTAGACAGACATGCTGTGTCAGTGGAGTGACCAGTATGTTATTTGTTGTTTAGACAGACATGCTGTGTGAGTGGAGTGACCAGTATGTTATTTGTTGTTTAGACAGACATGCTGTGTCAGTGGAGTGACCAGTATGTTATTTGTTGTTTAGACAGACATGCTGTGTCAGTGGAGTGACCAGTATGTTATTTGTTGTTTAGACAGACATGCTGTGTCAGTGGAGTGACCAGTATGTTATTTGTTGTTTAGACAGACATGCTGTGTCAGTGGAGTGACCAGTATGTTATTTGTTGTTTAGACAGACATGCTGTGTCAGTGGAGTGACCAGTATGTTATTTGTTGTTTAGACAGACATGCTGTGTCAGTGGAGTGACCAGTATGTTATTTGTTGTTTAGACAGACATGCTGTGTCAGTGGAGTGACCAGTATGTTATTTGTTGTTTAGACAGACATGCTGTGTCAGTGGAGTGACCAGTATGTTATTTGTTGTTTAGACAGACATGCTGTGTCAGTGGAGTGACCAGTATGTTATTTGTTGTTTAGACAGACATGCTGTGTCAGTGGAGTGACCAGTATGTTATTTGTTGTTTAGACAGACATGCTGTGTCAGTGGAGTGACCAGTATGTTATTTGTTGTTTAGACCCCCCTCATCAGACATGCTGTGTGAGTGGATGTTGTTTGTTGTTTAGACCCTCCTTGTCAGATGTGCTGTGTGAGTGGAGTGACCAGTATGTTGTTTGTTGTTGACTCCCCTCGTCAGACATGCTGTGTGAGTGGAGTGACCAGTAAGTTATTTGTTGTTGAGACAGACATGCTGTGTCAGTGGAGTGACCAGTATGTTATTTGTTGTTTAGATAGACATGCTCTGTCAGTGGAGTTACCAGTATGTTATTTGTTGTTTAGACCCCCCTTGTCAGATGTGCTGTGTGAGTGGAGTGACCAGTATGTTGTTTGTTGTTTAGACCCCCCTCGTCAGATGTGCTGTGTCAGTGGAGTGACCGAGTGTTGAAGGCCAGTAAGATGACCGGGGATGAACACTTCAGACTGGCTGCAGCACAAGGAATAGTCACTGTTGGACATGTCATCATGACCCCCTCCGGATTGTCAAAGGATGTGCCCTATCAAATCTGTATCATTAAGTAAGTGTACGATGGTTATCCTTAGGTATAATACAAAAGATAAAGCCAGATACTTCTATAGGGCAAAATACAATTTATAGGCATTTTCCTTTTTTTTATGTTTTGGCATGGATTATATTTCAACAGGATTCCTATAATTGTGAGANACTTCAGACTGGCTGCAGCACAAGGAATAGTCACTGTTGGACATGTCATCATGACCCCCTCCGGATTGTCAAAGGATGTGCCCTATCAAAACTGTATCATTAGGTAAGTGTACGATGGTTATCCTTAGGTATAATACAAAAGATAAAGCCAGATACTTCTAGTTGAGCATTCTATAGGGCAAAATACAATTTATTGGCATTTTCCTTTTTTTTATGTTTTGGCATGGATTATATTTCAACAGGATTCCTATAATAGTGAGGAATTCATTATAAATGCAAACAGTAACATATTAAACAAGCGAGACTCGCCAAACCTCACAATATTTGAGGATTTGTAACCTATCAAAGATGTCAGAATTTCACCAAGGTTTTTTTGTCTGTGCAGACTTTTTCAGGCAATGTCAAACCTGATCCAGGATGATGACACAGAAGTGCGTGCGATGGCCATGAAATTTATACCACATCTATATTACGAAGGCAGGTCCGTCCAGGTAATTACAAAAGTTCTCATGAAGTTAAAACCACACCTGTATAACTAAGGCAGGTCCGTCCAGGTAATTACTAAAGTTCTCATGAAGTTAAAACCACACCTGTATAACTAAGGCAGGTCCGTCCAGGTAATCACTAAAGTTCTCATGAAGTTAAAACAATACCTGTAAAGATAAGGCAGGTCCCTCTAGGTAACTACGAAAGTTCTCATGCAGTTAAAACCACACTTGTATAACTAAGGCAGGTCCGTCCAGATAATTACAAAAGTTCTCATGAAGTTAAGACCACACCTGGATAACTAAGGCGTCCCTTAACAGGTAATTAAAAAGGTTCTCATGCAGTTAAGACCACACCTGTATAACTATAATTAAAGGCAGGTCCCTACAGGTAATCACATTATTTATACAGGTAATCACATTACATATGCAGGTTATCATGTTAGTTACAATGAAAAGAAACATTTTTTCCTCCCAAATCTTTTCCTCAAGACTTGTAAACTTAATTCAGCAAGCATTAAGTTTATTCTCCTGTCGTTTCTAAGCCTAATAACAATTTCTATCACAAGCTACATAACAATTTTATCACAAGTTACACATTAAGCTTTTTCTGTCAAAAGTTATATATTTTACTATTTCTTATCACATGACTATTTCTTTCACAAACTACATATTCTATGAAGACATAAAGGACAATAATAAAACAATGGTGAATCTTTGTTTTACAGTATCAAGGTAATCACTCAAGTGATCCTACAAGTAAATAAACAACTCGTCCAGCTGCTGCCAACAATATCCTTCATTTTCTGATAAGCAGATAAATTATATAGAGTATAAATACAATTTTCTATTTTTTTTCATCACTAAACAAGTTGATGGTACGTGTGTATATAGTTATGCTTCAGTCTTGTCAGTTTTAATCAGATTTGATTTCATTCTTACCCTAACATTATATATTATATCGTTACATATGTTCTCTTCTGTTGTTTACAGTATGATGCCATACAATACAACTCTGGATATCAGGTAAACCACTTAATATAGTCCAATCATTCTTAACAAGCTTGCAGGCAAATCATAATCCCCTACTCATGCAGTTTATTGAATTTGTCTGTAATACAATGTATATGTCTATTATAATTTAGAACACAATAGCAGACAAATCCAAGAACACAGATTGCAACCTGTACTATAACTAAAAGACAAAAACATGATGTACATGATGGTTTCTTTCTACAGCACTGACCTTATTTTTTTCCTGCTGGGCCTGAAACATTTTATGGCATTCTAGATAAAAAAAAAACCTGACCCTCAATTAAGGTCAGCCGGCTTGAAGGACCAAGGTCAGCGCTGTATCAAGCTGTCCTTAATTAAGGTCAGCTGGTATGAAGGACCAAGGTCAGCCTTGGGTGTACCAAGTTGTCCTTAATTAAGGTCAGCTGGTCTGAAGGACCAAGGTCAGCCTCGGCTGGACTGAGTTGTCCTTAATTAAGGTTAGCTGGTCTGAAGGACCAAGGTCAGCCTTGGGTGTACTGAGTTGTCCTTAGTTAAGGTCAGCTGGTCTGAAGGACCAAGTTCAGCCTAGGCTGTACTGAGTTGTCCTTAATTAAGGTCAGCTGGTCTGAAGGACCAAGGTCAGCCTTGGGTGTACCGAGTTGTCCTTAATTAAGGTCAGCTGGTCTGAAGGACCAAGGTCAGCCTAGGCTGTACTGAGTTGTCCTTAATTAAGGTCAGCTGGTCTGAAGGCCCAAGGTCAGCCTAGGCTTACCGAGTTGTCCTTAATTAAGGTCAGCTGGTATGAAGGACCAAGGTCAGCCTTGGGTGTATCGAGTTGTCCTTAATTAAGGTCAGCTGGTATGAAGGACCAAGGTTAGCCATGGGTGTACCGAGTTGTCCTTAATTAAGGTCAGCTAGTATGAAGGACCAAGGTCAACCTAGGGTGTACCGAGTTGTCCTTAATTAAGGTCAGCTGGTATGAAGGACCAAGGTCAGCCTAGGCTGTACCGAGTTGTCCATTATCCACCTCTTTGTCGACAATTTCTTCTGAAGAAATTCTGAACTGCTGAACAGAATTTCACCAAATTTGACTGAAAATGCTTTTTGTTAGGGATACTGAATTTTACAAATAGGGAGGGAGTTGGAAAAAGGAGTAATTTGCCTATATAGCTAATGACTTTTCTGGAACTGTGTGATTGATATCAATACTTTTTGGTTGGGAACATCTTGAAGGGGTTTGGATTAAGAATTATACAAACAGAGAGACGGGGCCAAACAGAGGGTAAGTTTGGCCTCTCCTCGGGAACTGGTAGATGATAACCATATTTGGTTGGAAGTATCCTCAGGTGTTGATGATTCAAACTTGTGCAAACTGAGGGGCTGTAGAAATACCGACAAGAATGGTTATAACACAATATCAACCAACAATGCAATGTTATTCTGATATGGGCAGTCACTTCATAATATAGTCTAAACATAAAACAGAACAATGGAAAATGGATTTATCTACAGATTCTGTTCTAACTAACTATAATTTACCGGTAGTCGATGCTAATGTAAAGACGAGTTATTAACTTTTCCATCGGTGTATATAATTTATCTATATGATACTAGCTATATAGAAAAGTACTGAAATCAGCATGCACCCAATCCAATATTTAATATAGGAGAAAATAGAAATATTAAAGATAATAAGATAATTCTGAACAGCTGACCTGATTCTAAGTGGTTCTACAGTGACAATATAGAGCAAATGTTGATATATGTTAAACCCCAATGAACTTAATTTAGAAGGAAATTTAAAAGCTGTGTGACATTTCCTAAGTAACATCATTATATTTTTTGTTACTATCAAATGTTAATTTTATGTTGCTTAAAGATCATTTCTAAAATAGACAATGCAGTATCATTAAAACACCTTCATTGTAGTCAGGTTGTCTCCCCTTTAGCTGCTGTTTAAGTTACAACACACGCTATATTTGGTAGTCTGGTTATCTCCCCTTTAGCTGATGTTTAAAGTTATTACACACGCTATATTTGGTAGTCTGATTGTCTCCCCTTTAGCTGCTGTTTAAGTTACAACACACACTTTTTTTGGTAGTCTGGTTGTCTCCCCTTTAGCTGCTATTTAAGTTACAACACACTATTTTTGGTAGTCTGGTTGTCTCCCCTTTAGCTGCTGTTTTAGTTACAACACACGCTATATTTGGTAGTCTGGTTGTCTCCCCTTTAGCTGCTGTTTTACTTCCAACACACGCTATATTTGGTAGTCTAGTTGTCTCCCCTTTAGCTACTGTTTAAGTTACAACACTCACTAAATTTGGTAGTCTGGTTGTCCCCCCTTTAGCTGCTGTTTAAGTTACAACACACGCTATATTTGGTAGTCTAGTTGTCTCCCCTTTAGCTACTGTTTAAGTTACAACACACGCTATATTTGGTAGTCTGGTTGTCTCCCCTTTAACTGCTGTTTAAGTTACAACCCTCACTATATTTGGTAGTCTGGTTATCTCCCCTTTATCTGCTGTTTAAGTTACAACACTCACTATATTTGGTAGTCTGGTTATCTCCCCTTTAGCTGCTATTTAAGTTACAACACACGCTATATTTGGTAGTCTGGTTGTCTCCCCTTTAGCTGCTGTTTAAGTAACAACACACGCTATATTTGGTAGTCTGGTTGTCTCCCCTTTAGCTGCTGTTTAAGTAACAACACACGCTATATTTGGTATTCTGGTTGTCTCCCCTTTAGCTGCTGTTTAAGTAACAACACACACTATATTTGGTAGTCTGGTTATCTCCCCTTTAGCTGCTGTTTAATTAACAACACTCGCTATATTTGGTAGTCTGGTTGTCTCCCCTTTAGCTGCTGTTTAAGTAACAACACACGCTATATTTGGTAGTCTGGTTGTCTCCCCTTTAGCTGTTGTTTAAGTAACAACACTCGCTATAATTGGTAGTCTGGTTGTCTCCCCTTTAGCTGCTATTTGAGTACCTACACACACTGTATTGGTGGTCTGAGGCTGTGGTGTCCACTCTTGTCGAGATGTTGTACCAACCAGAGGATGTCAGTACCTGTATCACACACAAACTTACAGCCGGGTAAGCATCCAAGGATAGTATAACATTAAACAGAACAGGTTGGGTGTCAGTGCAGTCAAAAAAGGGAAAAAAAAAATTTAAATAATTTTACCAGTTTAGGATTTTACAAATTTTTCTGATATTCATTTCACAGGTGAGCTATGCTGTTTTTTACTGACTTTGCAATACATTGTCACATGACCACCAGATTATGTGTAAAGTAATTTCTAAGGTTCCTTAGAGTTTATCATAAAAATATTCATTGTTTATATTTTAATTGTTTTATGTTTATTTGATGAAGAAATATTTCACTGGGAACTAATTCTTCTGATGTTTTAGTTGGTGGAAAGTTATGGGGCAAAAAATAAGAGAAAAACAATTACCTGGTGATAAACTTGCTGTGTGTAAATGGTAGATAGGGTAGCACTACCTGTATGAGAGGGGTAAGACTTATTTTGTGTAATGCTTTGTTTCAGTCATCAACATCTATTTGAGCAGGAAGATGATACTTTCCATATAGAGAGTATATTTAACAGATTCCAAGTTTACAAATCACTAAAGGTAAAGCATTTTTAGTTTTTGTATACACATTGTTTTTTGCTTGATTGGAAAGGAAATGTGATTCATTACTCCTGAGATATTTGTTTATCATATCCCATGAATTTTTATTACACTTTATTAAAGTTGTTAGGATTTAACCTTTCTATGCTCCCACAATTTTATGGGGGTGGGAGAGGGGGCCAAATAGTGTTACTTATATCCACCCTGCCCCATCCTGATTTACTGTCATTGCTCTAACAACTTCATTTCTAACAGATTTTGATCAAACTTTATGCAAAGGGCAAGTATGAAAATACCTCAAATGACTGTCTTTCAGAGTTCCAAGTTCATGGTCAATGTTACAATTTATAGAAATTTGTCAACAAATTCAGGGACATCACTCCAGCATCTTCACTGAGTGAAAGATTTTTAAGCCTTATACAAAGGTCAAGTATAGAATACCTTGTACTTCAAATGAGTTCATATTTCAGGACCAAAGGTCAGAGTTAGGTCTCCAGTTTTCCTTGTATCAGAAATAATTGAAATATAGCTTGCTTAAAAATGGATCATTTACCAGCCCTGTAAGAGTAAGACTGTTTTCTGTGTTTCAGTGTGTTGTAGGTATGTGTAATGACCAGCAGTCTTTCTCCAGTATACAGTGTATGAGGGAGCCAGGACAAGCCCTGTGTGCTGACCTGGCCTTTGTGGAGGATTTCCTCAACAAGTATTTAGATGGTAGGTGTTTTGGTGTATAAATATCAGTGGTAAACATGTAGACATTACCTGTTTTGGTATACAGATATCAGTGGTATACATGTAGATGGTAGATGTTGTGGTATATATATATCAGCGGTATACATGTAGATGGTAGATGTTGTGGTATATAGATATCAGTGGTATACAGGTAGATGGTAGATGTTGTGATATACATATATCAGTGGTTTACATGTAGATGGTAGATGTTGTGGTATATAGATATCAGTGGTATACAGGTAGATGGTAGTTGTTCTGGTATTAGATATCAATGGTTTACATGTAGATGGTAGATGTTGTGGTATATAGATATCAGTTCCATACAGGTAGATGGTAGTTGCTTTGGTTTACAAATATCAGCGGTATACAGGTAGATGGTAGTTGCTTTGGTTTACAAATATCAGTGGTATACAGGTAGATGGTAGTTGTTTTGGTTTACAAATATCAGTGGTATACAGGTAGATGGTAGTTGCTTTGGTTTACAAATATCAGCGGTAGACAGGTAGATGGTAGTTGCTTTGGTATACAGATATCAATGTCATACATGAAGATGGTAGATGTTGTGGTATATAGATATCAGGGGTATACAGGTAGATGGTAGATGTTGTGGTATACAGATATCAATGTCATACATGAAGATGGTAGATGTTGTGGTATATAGATATCGGTGCTATACAGGTAGATGGTAATTGTTTTGGTTTACAAATATCAGTGGTATACATGTAGATGGTAAATGTTGTGGTATATATATATCAGCGGTATACAGGTTCTGTAGATGGTAGTTGCTTTGGTATACAGATATCAATGGTATACATGAAGATGGTAGATGTTGTGGTATATATATATCAGTGGTATACAGGTAGATGGTAGTTGCTTTGGTATACATATATCAGTGGTATACATGTAGATGGTAAGTGTTGTGGTCAACAGATATCATTGGTATACATGTATACATCTACTTAGATGGTAAGTATTGTGGTACATAGATATCATATACCTGTTAAGTCTGGATACAGGACATTGCAGTGCTGTCAGCTGTTCTAATGTATTTACTGACTACATTACAGGTAAGCCTGTATTAAGTCTGGGTATGGACACTGCAGTGCTGTCAGCTGTTCTAATGTATTTACTGACTACATTACAGGCTTACCTGTAATATCAACAGTCAGTAAATACATGAGAACAGCTGACAGCACTGCAATGTCCTGTATCCAGACTTTACAGGTATATGATATCTATGTACCACAATACTTACCATCTAAGTAGATGTATACATGTATACCAATGATATCTGTTGACCACAACACTTACCATCTACATGTATACCACTGATATATATATATCAGTGGTATACATGTAGATGGTAAGTGTTGTGGTCAACAGATATCATTGGTATACATGTATACATCTACTTAGATGGTAAGTATTGTGGTACATAGATATCATATACCTGTAAAGTCTGGATACAGGACATTGCAGTGCTGTCAGCTGTTCTCATGTATTTACTGACTTGATATTGCAGGTAAGCCTGTATTAATTCTGGGTATGGACACTGCCATGCTGTCAGCTGTTCTTATGTATTTACTGACTTGATATTGCAGGTAAGCCTGTATTTAGTCTGGGTATGGACACTGCCGTGCTGTCAGCTATTGCTGGTTGTGTGTTGTTTGGCTTGGTGCTGATTGACACTAAGTTGTCCCTCAACTTTTCTTCAGAGGATTCTGTATGTACACAGCTGCAAAACGTTCTTACAGTAAGTATTTCATAACCAAGCTAGGACCAGGGGTTTGTAGTCCTACCATACAGTTAATACTGGTATACTGTATAAAGCTATGATAACATTACCTTCAGATGAAAACCTGTAACCATACCCACCTAGTAATACTTGTAACCTTACCTATTTGTAAAATACTTTATCTAACCCATGAAAACCTGTATTCTTACTCACCTGTAAATACCTGTAACCTCACTTTGATTACCTGTAAATACCTAGACTTGCTCACCTTTAAATACCTGCATTCTTACCCACCTGTAGCTACCTCTAACCTTACTTACCTGTAAATACCTAGACTTGCTCACCTTTTAATACCTGTATTCTTACACACCTTTAAATACATGTAACTTTACTTACCTGTAAATACCTAGTTCTAATCAGCATTAAATACCTGTAATTTTACACACCTGTGTATTCCTGTAACCTTACTTACATGTAAATACCTAGTCTTAATCAGCTTTAAATACATATAACTTTTCACATCTGTAAGTACCTGTAACCTTACTTCCCTGTAAATACCTAGTTTTAATCACCTTTAAATACCTGTAACTTAACACACCTGTAAATACCTTCTACCTCACCAAACTACGGTAGCTGCCTGATAGATATTCCGTCTTTGCGTATTGCAGAGTTATCTGCTCTTGTGAGCAGGTATTGATTGTTACGTCATTTGTTTGTGAGAGTAATGTCATCAATTTTTGAGAAAACAAAGTAATTTTCTNTCACACAAACCAATGACGTAACAATCCATACCTGCTCACAAGAGAATTTAACTCTGCAATACACGAAGACGGAATAACAGAATTATAGATCTATCTTATGTAAATGTAAAGGATTTGAAAAGTCTACCCTATTATTATGTCATTCAGTTCCACACATACAGATGAGCTGGTCTCCAAATTTTGGAGGTCTGACTGCTTTAATATCAGCATCATCAGTATAAAATATCTTGTTCCCCAGTCTATACTTGTCTGTACATTTACCAGCTACCAATACACTGTTTCCTGATTCTTTTATTTCTAGAATACAAATCTGCCACCCGCATTCAGACGTACTATTGATGGAATTAATAAAAACAGGACAGAAATATGGAGATCGTGATAGACTTAAACAACATGGCAGGATAAGAATCTGATAGACTTTGTGTGTGGGTGTGAATAAATAGGAAACAATAGGATGGACTGGTGACTGACTTTTGTCAGAGATGAAATGCTACGGTGGAACCTTGACTTGTTTCTGTCACCAGCTCTCCTGTCAGTCTGTGTCAAATGACGACCATTTATTTTATAAACATAAACGGGTACCATTGTGTTTTATGTTATCCTGTCTCAGCAAGGGTTTGTCTTAGCAACACTGTTGAATACCAATACTTGTTAAATTTTCTAAAAACAGTTTGTCTAAATGTCCAACAAACCACCTGTTATTGAAATATCAGTCAGTATCTGTTTATTATTCTGCTGTAGATTTTGTCAAGTAAATCCAAGTAATCAACTAAACAATACAAAATATAATGTGAATAACTGTTTATGATAATATAAACAGTGAAATATGAATCACTGTGTAATTGATAGCTGTTTCTCCTTTGCAGTGTTTTATGCCAGAATAGCAATAATTTTGATAACATTTTTATCCGCCCCAATGATGAGAGGACCAAGAGTTTTGATTTACTTAGCCCAGATTAACTTTGAAATGGCACTGGTCATCTGTCCATCCGTTACAAAGAATGTAGGTAGCTCCCCTGGGCCAGAGGGATGGGGCCTAAAACTTGGGCTGATATGATGGTCTCTGATAGAAAGAGTTGGGATCTCTACCCTAAAATTATATATATATATATTCATGCTACAAGGATTTAGCAAACCATAAGGCTAGTTTTGGTCGCATTAATGTGTTCGTCTTTTCATGGGGAGTAGTACCCGAGACACTAAATGGAAACATTTGAGATCCCAATCCTTCAAGATTAAAAACAATTGCCAGGCATGAATAGATCTATTTAAAGCACATTCGGTCCTTGGGTCTTTGGAATCAATCATTATGTTTAAAAAAGAATGTAGCTCCATTTGGGACTAAGACGCGATACCTTAAAAGGAGAAATTAGGTTGGAAAGTCTACTTCTCTTGACAAGTTGGTTGTATTTCAACAAAATTTTCTATGAAGCATCCATGGAACTAGGTAATAAAATGTTAGATAAAAGAAGGATGTTGTCTTGTAACTGAGAGGCAGAGCCCAAAATGGAGATATGTTGCTCTTAATGAGAATATATTGCCACAGTTTCTAAAATATCCAGATGAGATATGTGGACCCTCTGGGTCCTTGAGGTCAGTCATGGTAACAGTTAATTCTAGGTATGTTTTCTGGCAATTTTACAGTGTTATATTATAATGATACTTATGCAACCTCTAGCTGGACTGGAGGTGAACTATGACAAGACATGGAGGAAGTCTTATCGACGTGTCAAGACATGGAGGAAGTCTTAGCGACATGTCAAGACATGGAGGAAGTCTTATCGACATGTCAAGACATGGAGGAAGTCTTATCGACATGACAAGACATGGAGGAAGTCTTATCGACATGACAAGACATGGAGGAAGTCTTATCGACATGACAAGACATGGAGGAAGTCTTATCGACATGACAAGACATGGAGGAAGTCTTATCGACATGTCAAGACACGGAGGAAGTCTTATCGACATGACAAGACACGGAGGAAGTCTTATCGACATGACAAGACATGGAGGAAGTCTTATCGACAAGATTGTGTGGAACCATCCACCATGCTTTATCTAACTACATCTCCACCAAGGATGTATGGGAATCATGTTAACAATGTGGCTGTGACATTAAATCATCAATAAAGGTGGCTCCTCCTGGACACCGTGTCTCCCTCTTGTCCCCGAGTCAGACAAACAACTGCGTATTTAATAACAAAGGTTTATTTCTGTAACAGTTCATAAAAATATACAACAAATATACAAAAAATATTGTAATAAAGTGTAAACCATTTGTCAAAGAATAAATGTAAATAGATAATGTTTGATAATATGTCAAATAAAAACCACGCTGTCTATGCTTCACAGAGTCGTTCTCTGAATGTCAACCTGTCATGAATGTTTATTGAATAGTTTCTGTGGTGCCACATGATTCTGTATTCAAACTTTTGAAAACTACATTATGATTTAATACCACAAAGATTAATATAAATTTCCACAGATTTGATAGTTGTGACTACTTGTTCACTGAAATCAATTCATGATTTGTTATGATTACGAGAAAAAAGTTAGTACAGGATTCAAAAACTTATTTTGTTCAGTAGTGATTATTTGGAATCTAAGAGCACAAAGTTTTTGTTTTTGACTCTGACAAGTAAATTCCAAACAGGTAATTAGATTCAAATATAGTAAATTCCAATCTAGATTCCAACTGGCTGTTTAACAAATTATAGCAGACTCCAGTATAAGTGTAGTGTATGACAAAGCTAGTGATGTTGTACATGACTGGTTCTAGTGAATCATTCATGTGGCCTCACTCTCCTCGACACGTGGCACATTTATCTCATGCCGGGCTGGCAGATGGTGCTTCCTGCGAATTGTTGGCCATTTGACCTTCTTCCAGTCCAGCCCATTCTCCTGACAGGCGACACGACGTTTCAGCTCCCGGGCAAGGTAGGCGGGATTGTCGCTGCGGGGAATTGGACCAAGACCCCGCTCCGTATATGACTTACAGAATGCCTACAAGTAACAAACCTATTAATAAAGTGTCTTGTTTGTAAAAATATAAACATGTAAAGTAGTGAAAGCTATTGCAGTTCCAACAATATTAAGTCATGTAATGTGAAGGTATGATATGTCGGTATACTCTGAGTGTATGATATGTCGGTATACTCTGAGGGTATGACATGTCAGTATATTCTGAGAGTATGATATGTCAGTATACTGATGGTATGACATGTCAGTTGCTCTGAGGGTATGATATGTCAGTGTACTCTGAGGGTATGATATGTCGGTATACTCTGAGGGTATGATATGTCAGTATACTCTGAGGATATGTCGGTATACTCTGAGGGTAAGACATGTCAGTATACTCTGAGAGTATGATATGTCGGTATACTCTGAGTGTATGATATGTCAGTATACTCTGAGGGTATGATATGTCAGTATACTCTGAGGGTATGACATGTCAGTATACTGATGGTATGACATGTCAGTATACTGATGGTATGACATGTCAGTATACTCTGAGTGTATGATATGTCAGTATACTCTGAGGGTATGATATGTCGGTATACTCTGAGAGTATGATATGTCAGTATACTGATGGTATGACATGTTAGTATACTCTGAGGGAATGACATGTCAGTATACTCTGAGAGTATGATATGTCAGTATACTCTGAGGGTATGACATGTCAGTATACTGATGGTATGACATGTCAGTATACTGATGGTATGACATGTCAGTATACTCTGAGGGTATGACATGTCAGTATACTCTGAGGGTATGACATGTCAGTATACTCTGAGGGTATGATATGTCAGTATACTCTGAGGGTATGATATGTCAGTATACTCTGAGGGTATGACATGTCAGTATACTCTGAGGGTATGACATGTCAGTATACTCTGAGGGTATGACATGTCAGTATACTCTGAGGGTATGATATGTCAGTATACTCTGAGGGTATGATATGTCAGTATACTCTGAGGGTATGATATGTCAGTATACTCTGAGGGTATGATATGTCAGTATACTCTGAGGGTATGATATGTCAGTATACTCTGAGGGTATGATATGTCAGTATACTCTGAGGGTATGATATGTCAGTATACTCTGAGGGTATGATATGTCAGTATACTCTGAGGGTATGATATGTCAGTATACTCTGAGGGTATGACATGTCAGTATACTCTGAGGGTATGACATGTCAGTATACTCTGAGGGTATGACATGTCAGTATACTCTGATGGTATGACATGTCAGTATACTCTGAGGGAATGACATGTCAGTATACTCTGAGAGTATGATATGTCAGTATACTCTGAGGGTATGACATGTCAGTATACTGATGGTATGACATGTCAGTATACTGATGGTATGACATGTCAGTATACTCTGAGGGTATGACATGTCAGTATACTCTGAGGGTATGACATGTCAGTATACTCTGAGGGTATGACATGTCAGTATACTCTGAGGGTATGACATGTCAGTATACTCTGAGGGTATGACATGTCAGTATACTCTGAGGGTATGACATGTCAGTATACTCTGAGGGTATGACATGTCAGTATACTCTGAGGGTATGACATGTCAGTATACTCTGAGGGTATGACATGTCAGTATACTCTGAGGGTATGACATGTCAGTATACTCTGAGGGTATGATATGTCAGTATACTCTGAGGGTATGATATGTCAGTATACTCTGAGGGTATGATATGTCAGTATACTCTGAGGGTATGTCTGTATACTCTGAGGGTATGACATGTCAGTGTACTCTGAGGGTATGATATGTCAGTATACTCTGAGAGTATGATATGTCAGTATACTCTGAGGGTATGTCTGTATTCTCTGAGGGTATGACATGTCAGTATACTCTGAGAGTATGATATGTCAGTGTACTCTGAGGGCATGATATGTCAGTATACTCTGAGGTTATGATATGTCGGTATACTCTGAGGGTATGATATGTCAGTATACTCTGAGTATACTGACATATCATACCCTCAGAGTAGGCTGACATATCATACCCTCAGAGTACACTGACATGTCATCCCCTCAGAGTATACAGACATATCATACCCTCAGAGTGTACTGACATATCATACCCTCAGAATATACAGACATATCATACTCTCAAGAGTATCCTGACATATCATACCCTCAGAGTATATAGTGTATTGACATATCATAACCTCAGAGTATACTGACATACCCTCAGAGTATACCGACATATCATGCCCTCAGAGTACACTGACATATCATTCTCTCAGAGTATACTGACATGTCATCCCCTCAGAGTATACAGACATACCCTCAGAGTATGTCTGTATACTCTGAGGGTATGCCACGTCAGTGTACTCTGAGGGTATGATATGTCAGTACACTCTGAGGGTATGATATGTCGGTATACTCTGAGAGTATGATATGTCGGTATACTCTGAGGGTATGTCAGTATACTCTGAGGGTATGATATGTCAGTATACTCTGATGGTATGATATGTCAGTATACGCTGAGGGTATGACATGTCAGTAAACTCTGAGGGTATGAGATGTCAGTATACTCTGATGGTATGACATATCAGCCTACTCTGAGGGCATGATATGTCAGTATACTGATGGTATGACATGTTAGTATACTCTGAGGTTATGATGTGTCAATATACTATATACTCTGATGGTATGATTTGTCAGTGTACTCTGAGGGCACGATATGTCAGTATACTGATGGTATGACATGTTAGTATACTCTGAGGTGATGATATGTCAATATACTATATACTCTGAGGGTAGGTCATGTCAGTATACTCTGAGGGCATGATATGTCAGTATACTCTGAGGTGATGATATGTCAATATACTATATACTCTGAGGGTAGGTCATGTCAGTATACTCTGATGGTATGATATGTCAGCCTACTTTGAGGGTATGACACGTCAGTGTAATGTTAGGGTATGACTCGTCAGTGTACTGTGAGGGTATGACATGTCGGTGTACTCTGAGGGTATGTCATTATACTCTGAGGGTATGAGATGTCAGTATACTCTGAGTGTATGATATGTCAGTATACTCTGAGGGTATGTCAGTATACTCTGAGAGTATGATATGTCAGTGTACTCTGAGGGCATGATATGTCAGTATACTCTGAGGGTATGATATGTCGGTATACTCTGAGGGTATGTCAGTATACTCTGAGGGTATGACATGTCAGTATACTCTGAGGGTATGATATGTCTGTATACTCTGAGGGTATGATATGTCTGTATACTCTGAGGGTATGATATGTCTGTATACTCTGAGGGTATGATATGTCTGTATACTCTGAGGGAATGATATGTCTGTATAGTCTGAGGGTATGATATGTCAGTATACTCTGAGGTATGATATGTCTGTATACTCTGAGAGTATGATATGTCAGTATACTCTGAGGGTATGACATGTCAGTATACTCTGATGGTATGATATGTCAGCCTACTTTGAGTGTATGATATGTCAGTATACTCTGAGGGTATGTCAGTATACTCTGAGGGTATGACATGTCAGTGTACTCTGAGGGTATGATATGTCAGTATACTCTGAGGGTATGATATGTCAGTATAATCTGAGGGTATGATATGTCGGTATACTCTGAGAGTATGCCATTCAGTATAATCTGAGGGTATGACATGTCGGTGTACTCTGAGGGTATGATATGTCAGTATACTCTGAGGGTATGATATGTCAGTATACTCTGAGGGTATGATATGTCTGTATACTCTGAGGGTATGATATGTCGGTATACTCTGAGGGTATGACACTTAGTATACTATTAAGGTATAACACTCAGTGTAATGTTAGGGTTTGACACGTCAGTGTACTGTGAGGGTATGACACGTCAGTGTACTGTGAGGGTATGACACGTCAGTGTACTGTGAGGGTATGACACTCAGCATACTATTATGGTATGACTCGTCAGTGTACTGTGAGGGTATGACACATCAGTGTACTTTGAGGGTATGACACGTCAGTGTACTGTGAGGGTATGACACGTTAGTGTACTGTGAGGGTATGACACGTCAGTGTACTGTGAGGGTATGACGTTGACGGTGTACTTGGTTGGAATGATATGTTGGTATTTACCCTTATATATTCAGTGCGTTTATCATCTACTATCTGTTCAATGATGGCGTAGTCCTTGTCGCTTAACTTTGCTTTGAGGACCAGCAGACGGTCATCCTGCTCCTTCCTGGACAGATTCTCTAGGTCCACCACCGCCTCGTGAACCCGGTTGTTGGTGATGGGTATACTGTTATGAAGTAAAATTGTGTGATAAATATACGGTACCGACCTTTTCCATACACTGTTATGCATGTCTCAATGCATTGGAATTGATTGAATATAATGCACTCTGTGAAAATTGATCTGGAATCGCCTTTTGGTAGAAATGATAACCATATCTTATGAGATTAGTCCGTACAGTTGTTGGCGAATGGTAACTTCCATTTGGGTGAGTTCGTGAAGGATTGGATGTAAATGGGCGGAAAAGAATAAAATTTGGCCAAGTCCTGTTAGGGGTAGGGGTATGGATTACTGTCTTAGCATGTCTCTGTTTAAGTGGGTGAAAGGTATTACCATGTTGATATGTTGTTGTACGATCGGGTTGTAGAGCTGTTGGATTTGTTCTCCCTCCGCCGGTTGTCCGTCCTTCCGCTCGGCCTCCCGCTGCTAGAAGAGGCGACGTTCTTGGAGCATTGCTCCCACAACTATATGAGGGGGGAAAAGTGTAAGCATCATCTCCAAACATGCTTAAAATCGCAAAAGACCACACAAATGTTGCTTTCGAGAAAATGACAGACCTTAGGAATCATTAAATCAAATCTTGAGACAAAATCTGGTCCGGAGGAGTATTAGGTTCTACCGCACATGTGGCGCCCGTTGTGAGACGGTCAAATACAGGGAAGTAATGTTGTACCCTGAAATGTACAGCTGGAAGTCTCGAGATTTAGTCAGTGTTGATCAGAGTCTCTCCGATGGAGGACCTGGCTATGTAGTTGAGGACCATTATGTTTAAATACATGTACGAACCTTGGTGGAAATGTTTGTCTTACCTCAATAGCTGACATGTTCTCGGGGACGAGAGATGTGTTGGGGGATGGCCAGTACCGGGCGGGGAAATCATAAACGTCCGAATCCGGTCTGGGACGAGCTGAGGACCACATGAAACGATACATAATCAAGTCGTAGGAAGTTTATTATAATTAAACGATGTGAGCCAAAATTAAACGATTTTGGTGGATTCATATATAACATGTCAGATCTTACGTGTGTGAAAGGAGAGGGGTTCGGGTAGGGAGGCTGGGTCAATGATATTAGATAGTTTGTACTTGGCTGGAAGTCTCATCAGTTGTCCCTCGTATAACTGTGAGCGCATGAATCGCACTTTGTCTTCTCTTTTCTGTCTTGGCATGCTGGTCACTCCTGTAAAGATACTGACACGTTAAGAATATGCAATTGTGTCGACTCCGTGTTACATCAGTAGATTGGCATCAGAAGCAACTCTACTACCTAAATGGTACAAAAACATGGATTTGAGTTTGGGTCTTCAATACGGTAAGTTAACTGTAATTTTATATATATTGAATTTGATTGAGCTCAACTAGCTGGAGGTCAATTGGGCGTGTGCTGTGACGCACCGTCCATCCGTCGCAAGTTTTTAAAAGACTATAATATTATCGCCAGATACAGTCCAGAATGTCTCGGTGAATGTCTACTTTAGTAGGAAGCATCCATAGACAAATTGGATTCAGGTTAATACAAACGAGGGGTGCTACTTTTTCAAAATCAAAAATTGTATATCTGTGGTTTGATATTGAAAATAATCCCTGTATTCAGTATGAATTTGAACCATCCTAGGGTCTAGAAATGTAAATGTGTGGGGCAAATGGGGGAGACAGGGATAGGTCTTTAAACGACTACTCATTCAGTATGAGTGAACATATTCTAACGAATTTGGTATGAAGCATCCATGAGCCAAATAAATCAAATTTTGTATAAAGGAAGGAAACTACAACCCGAGGCCCAATAGTTCTCTGAAGGAATACTTCTACATGTCCACAGATTGTTAAGGTAATGGGTACCACCTATTGAAATGATACTATAGACAATGTCACTATTGGGAAACATTTCTTTAAGTCATTCTCAAAAGAAGTGTTCCATAAAAATCACATTTGCCATACATTTTACAAAATTTAAAAAAGAAACACCACGAGAAAACATAAATCAAACTCAAAATCGATAACAGATGGACAAAGGAAAGATTTACATAGAAACCCTTGAAAACATACAAGGAAGTCAAATGCAAACATTGAAAACAGTACTTGACAGTCTCATCATTTTTTTTCCAAATCGTTGACAAAAAAGATTTGTTGATTAATTAATAACCAGAACAGGAAATTAGGCTTGAGCCACAATCCCTATGTTTGAGCATGAGAACGTTAATTAATAACCAGAACAGGAAATTAGGCTTGAGCCAAAATCCCTATGTTTGAGCATGAGAACGGTTTCATGAATAAGCGTGTTATGCGTAAGCAAGGACACCCGTGAATCTAGGTCAAATCTAGCTTGTAATGTCGCGTCCTCACATCGAGAACTTCGAAAGTGACATCACAACCACTAGGCACACTGAACATCGACCTTCCCATCACACACATACATAACATATTTCCCTATGGGATCATGATGGTGACAGTTAAACATGTCAAAAGTCGTCATCCACCTGCACCCTTGGACAATTTGTCTGTCAGCACTCGACATATATCACGGAAGTCATGATAGTCAGAGCAAGCTTTTGAATATCGAATCTAGGGGAAGCAGTGTTGTTACTATCGAGAAGCGAAAGTTCATGATCGGAAAGTCGAAATCGTCCCGCTTAGCGTACAGCTTAGTAGTTAGCTGTCCGTGTTGGTCATTTGGTTGGTAAATATCAAGGAAAGCGGCTAAGGAGGACAAGTCAGTGGTGCCTTATATTTCAAAGTTAGAGGGATATATACAGTGTCGTGTTTTCAAGTCGTATACGTTACGTCATTTTCCCAATGGATTCTATGTTAATTTACTTTTTTTCAAAACTTTTCGTCTCTTCCTCGTTTGAAATCCAATGTTTATAAAACTTGACATTATGTTAGAAGTTATCTAACGTTTCCTCTGGTTCATCCCAGCGTAAAGATTATACTTTGACATCATTCAACTAGACACAATGGTAAATTTTGCCGTAAAAATTGGTTATGCCAAATAACCCATCATGGTCAGAAATATTTGCAACAGATAATCATATTTCTCTATTCAATTATCCAATAGGATAAACAACACAAAATACAGAAATAAATTTCACTGCGACAGAGGCATTGTGACTGATTTATTAAATAAACAATTAAATAAACAAATCATTATCAAACACAACAAAAGACTTAAAGCATGTATGCACATACAAACAAAGGACTGCTTTTAATTATTATATTCATCATAAATTGATCCATTGCCAAGACACTTCCATATTACTCCCCAAACTATCACTGATTACCAATATCTGGATATCAAATCATTATTATTATTTAAATTCTACATCTGCTAAAAAAACATCCGCAATTTATAAAAGTAAAAATTGAATTGTATGTCTGCCTGTACACTGGTGAATGCATGATTAGAGTAGCATGTCCGTAATTACCCGACACGTGTCCGTTAACAGATTACTATATATTCCGTGTTTTGGTTTATATTTTACTGTTCATTTTACCGACTTATCAAAAGCATAACTAAAAAAGTAACAGAAAGGGACCTTCATTCTCACGAAACATGTTCATAAACTATCTATACTAGATCGCACACAGCATGTTGATAAACTGTACCAGGTAGCCTGTATTCACAATCATCATTTGAAAAGTGTCCGTATTTACCCGGATGTCCCCTATTATTTTTTTGTATATACATACCTTTGGGTTAAACCATCATGATATGACATGAAATTAAGGTCAGCACTCCTCCTTTGCTTAGTAATTTCATGACTCTAAACGTCACTACCAAATAAATACTTTTACCTGTGTGTTGTGTTATGGTGATCATGTACAATCTCATTAAAATCAGATGTTAATAAAAAAAAATACCTACGTTTATGCGGTACGTGATAATGAACAGTTGTATTTATTCAGATTGGGACATGTAAATACGATTTTTTTAAATTATATTTGTTAATTTATAAAAGGATTGGACATAGTTAGGCCTAAAATAACCACTGGGCTATCCAACTGAAACACGCTCCGCAAAACCGTGAAAACGTCATGGCGCCACATTATTTCACAAGAATCGATTTCAAATACTTCCGTCTTGGAATATATTTAAGTTTACAATTTCTGTTTCGATTCCAACCATATTAGACTAAAGGATATGTTAGAAATATTACTTACGTTTTTATCGTCCAACAACAGCCGTTTATTGCTATTAGCCTTTGCTTGAAATATTGGTTTGATGACGTCATGATTTATCTTGTCTGTGACGTAAACAATGGCGCAAGCGCTGTGATTTGGCGGCTAACGTCTTACATTCTATGCTCAAACTCAGATTCTGTGCCCAAGCCAAATATCTTGTTTCCGCGATAAAGTTATAAACAAATCAAATTTTGTCAACAATATGGAAGAATTTTGGAGTGACATAAAGTCGAATACTGTTTTCAATGTTTACACTTGACTTTTTAGCTCACCTGGTCCGAAGGACCAATGGGAGCTTATGCCATACCATGGCGTCCGTCGTCTGTCCGTCGTCCGTCCGTCAACAATTTCTTCAAACGACTTCTACTTCTTAACCACTGATTGGAAATTAACTAAATTTGACTGGAAGCATCCCTATGTGATGGGGATTCAAAATTGTACAAATGGTAGGGTTGACCCCCCAGGGGGCTGAGGGGCGGGGCCAAAAGGGGACAATTTGACTATATTGCTATAAACGACTTCTTCTGTAGAACTGTGCAATGGATATCAATCATATTTGGTCAGAGCATTAATGAGAGGCGGGAATTACAAATTGTACAAATAGTGGGGCTCACCCCCCAGGGGCTGAGGGGCGGGGCCAAAAGGGGACAATTTGACTTTATTGCTATAAACAACTACTTCTGTAGAACTGTGCAATGGATATCAACCATATTTTACTGGAAGCATCCCTAGGTAGTGGGGATTCAAAGTTGTACAAATGGTTGGGCTGAACCTCAAGGGGGCTGAGGGGCGGGGCCAAAAAGAGTTATTTGGCTATATTACTTTAAGCGACTTCTTCTCTACTAATAAAAGATGGACATCAACCATATTTGACTGGAAGCATCCCTACGTAGTGGGGATTCAAAATTGTTCAAATGGTGGGTCTGACTCCCCAGGGGACTGAGGGGCGGGGCCAAAAGGGGTCAATTTGGCTATATTGCTTTAAGCGACTTCTCCTATGGAACTTAAAGATGGATATCAACCATATTTGACTGGAAGCATCCCTAGGTAATCGGGATTCAAAATGTACAAATGGTGGGTCTGACTCCCCAGGGGGTTGAAGGGTGGGGCCAAAAGGGTAATTTGGGTATATTGCTATAAATGACTTCTTCTGTAGACCTATGCACTGGATATCAATCATATTTGGTTGGAAGCATTCATGGGAGCCAGGGATTCAAATTATACAAGTAGTGGGGCTGACCCCATTTACTAAAGGGTGGGGCCAAAAATAGTTTATTGCTTGGAAATGGTTGAGATCCCCACCCTATAACCATACATACAGTTGCTGAGAATAAAGATAAGAATGCACATATGTTTCCAGGATTGCCCAGTGGTCTGGGGTCTTGGAGACATAGTCCCTAAGTCATAACTTTGAAACGGTTGATATCCCCACCCCAAAACTGTATATACAAATGCTGGGCATAAAGAGAAACAGTTTAGATCCCTACCCCAAAACTGTATATACAAATGCTGGGCATAAAGGGACGAATGCACTCATGATATTTTAATTGATCCTGGGGTCTGCCAAAACCCTAGGAACCTAGTTTCTGAGTCACACATTGGAAACAGTTGAGATCCCCACCCCATAACCATACATAAAATTGCTGGGCATGAAAAATCTAATACAGATAGGATACAAGGATTGTCCTTGGGGTCTGGCCCATTCCTTTGGATCTTATTTTGGAGATTTTTTTGCCATGATTACTTTGATATCCAGGTGAGCGATACAGGCCTTCTGGGCCTCTTGTTTTAACTTCTTATATGATTTAAACGAGTTAAGAGAAAGTGATCATGCTCAAGCTAACTTTCTTTACTGTTTCATGAATACGGGCTCTGGACTTCTGTAGGCCACAGACAGATGTTACAGATTTGATATAGCGCCATGTTTAGCAAGTGAGGAAAACATACACTAAAAGGCAATCAATGCAATTTCAGGATTTTGCTGGACCTGCCATATCAGGTGTTAATAACTGGTCCTAAGCCACCTAGCTTAATACCACCACATATATGCGTTTATGTTTAAACTGTATTAATGCTTGGCTTCGTGTTCATGAATTAGTAAGCCAGGAGTTAGTACCTCGAAATTTCGAGCTACTCAAATATGAAAAAAAAAAGTTTTTTTCCCTACATGGCCCTATAGATGATTTTTCCCCCTACATGGCCCTATAGATGATTTTTTTCCCTGCATGGCCCTATAGATGATGTTTTCCCCTACATGGCCCTATAGATGATTTTTTTCCCCTACATGGCCCTATAGAGGATTTTTCCCCTGCATGGCCCTATAGATGATTTTTCCCCTACATGGCCCTATAGAGGATTTTTTCCCCTACATGGCCCTACAGATGATTTTTTTTCCCCCTACATGGCCCTATAGATGATTTTTTTCCCTGCATGGCCCTATAGATGATTTTTTCCCCTACATGGCCCTATAGAGGATTTTTTTCCCCTACATGGCCCTATAGATGATTTTTTTCCCTACATGGCCCTATAGATGATTTTTTCCCCTACATGGCCCTTTAGATGAATTTTTCCCCTACATGGCTCTATAGATGATTTTTTCCCCTACATGGCCCTATAGAGGATTTTTTTCCCCTACATGGCCCTATAGATGATTTTTTTCCCTACATGGCCCTATAGATGATTTTTTCCCCTACATGGCCCTTTAGATGAATTTTTCCCCTACATGGCTCTATAGATGATTTTTTCCCCTACATGGCCCTATAGAGGATTTCCCCCCCCCCCTACATGGCCCTACAGATGATTTTTTCCCCTACATGGCCCTATAGAGGATTTTTTTCCCCTACATGGCCCTATAGATGATTTTTCCCCTGCATGGCCCTATAGATGATTTTTCCCCTACATGGCCCTATAGATGATTTTTTTCCCTACATGGCCCTATGGAGGATTTTTTTCCCCCTACATGGCCCTATAGATGATTTTTTTCCCCTACATAGCCCTATAGAGGATTTTTCCCCTACATGGCCCTATAGATGATTTTTCCCTACATGGCCCTATAGAGGATTTTCCCCCTACATGGCCCTATAGAGGATTTTTCCCCTACATGGCCCTATAGATGATTTTTTCCCTACATGGCCCTATAGAGGATTTTTCCCCTACATGGCCCTATAGAGGATTTTTCCCCTACATGGCCCTATAGATATTTTTTATCCCCTACATGGCCCTATAGAGGATTCCCCCCCTACAAGGCCCTATAGATGTTTTTTTTCCCTACATGGCCCTATAGAGGATTTTTTCCCCTACATGGCCCTATAGATGATTTTTCCCCTACATGGCCCTATAGATGATTTTTTTTCCCCCCTACATGGCCCTATAGATGATTTTTTTCCCTACATGGCCCTATAGATGATTTTTTTCCCCTACATGGCCCTTTAGATGAATTTTTCCCCGACATGGCCCTATAGATGATTTTTTCCCTACATGGCCCTATAGATGATTTTTCCCCTACATGGCTCTATAGATGATTTTTTCCCCTACATGGCCCTATAGAGGATTCCCCCCCCCCTACATGGCCCTATAGATGATTTTTTCCCCTACATGGCCCTATAGAGGATTTTTTTCCCCTACATGGCCCTATAGAGGATTTTTCCCCTGCATGGCCCTATAGATGATTTTTCCCCTACATGGCCCTATAGATGATTTTTTTCCCTACATGGCCCTATGGAGGATTTTTTTCCCCCCTACATGGCCCTATAGATGATTTTTTTCCCCTACATAGCCCTATAGAGGATTTTCCCCCTACATGGCCCTATAGATGATTTTTCCCTACATGGCCCTATAGAGGATTTTTCCCCTACATGGCCCTATAGAGGATTTTTCCCCTACATGGCCCTATAGAGGATTTTTTCCCTACATGGCCCTATAGAGGATTTTTCCCCTACATGGCCCTATAGAGGATTTTTCCCCTACATGGCCCTATAGATATTTTTTTTCCCCTACATGGCCCTATAGAGGATTCCCCCCCTACATGGCCCTATAGATGATTTTTTTCCCTACATGGCCCTATAGAGGATTTTTTCCCCTACATGGCCCTATAGAGGATTTTTCCCCTGCATGGCCCTATAGAGGATTTTTTCCCCTACATGGCCCTATAGATGATTTTTTTCCCTACATGGCCCTATAGATGATTTTTTTTCCCCCCTACATGGCCCTATAGATGATTTTTTTCCCCTACATGGCCCTATAGAGGATTTTTTCCCTACATGGCCCTATAGAGGATTTTTTCCCCTACATGGCCCTATAGAGGATTTTTTTCAAGATATGAAGCTGGACAAAAGTAATCTATGTCGAAAACAAAGTTAAGAATTCAGATGACTTGCTGGTCAAAAGTTCGATCGTGTTAATGCATTGGCTGTATATATAGGTAATGCATCATCAGTTCAGTAATTTAACAGTCATATATAGGTCACTGGACAAATTACATTGGCGTACGGGCCTTTTTTGAATATATAATTAACGTATGTTATTTGGAATCTGGTCTGATAAGGCGTGATTACAAACCACACGTTGTATTGTTTTTAGTCTGATTTGTATTAAATTAACACGGAATTAGATTGCTATCTAAGTCCGTGGTATTATATAGGAAATATTAGATGTGTCAGTGGAGAGTTAAGGAAATTGATTCAAAGAGCTCCAAAGCTTGACAAAGGGACCAGTCGGTCTTGAAACATTGCGACACGTTTAGTACGTACATTGTTTGTGTAAAAACTAAAAACTTTGATATCACATATTTCCAAACTGATCAATCTTATTGAAGATACTAATATTTTGTAGTTATCTCCCTTTCCGTGACGATTCACATGCGTTGCGATGAACATTATCATAAGGTGTAGATAAATGTTTTTCTTTTGCCTTTTTTCTTAGTCTTTTGATATTTGAATAAAATTAACAAACAGCAATTTGTTTAAATATATATTAAAAGTAATGAAGGAATATTTTTTTCTTTTTTTTCTTTATAAATAAATATAAAACAATGTATAATTGTGTAAAGAAAACCTC